CCTCCCCAACACAGAATGACCTGCTCTAAAATCTCAGGAGCTCTGAAGCTGAGACATCCCGCCCTAATACCAAAACTCATGTTTCCTAAACATCAGACACTTCATATTTTCCTTTTTTGTATTTTATTAATAAATACTAAAATGTATTATTTTTCTTCCATTGCCTTTAAATTGACGTACACCTTAAATATCTATGCCCACAAAGTCATGTGTCTGATGTGCCACTATTTTTTTTCTGTTACACATTGAAATAAATATAAAACTATTTTAAAAAACTCTTTGTTGGGGTACCACCAAAATCATCTCATGTACTTCTTGTAGTCTGGGGAAACCATACTTCAGATCCACTTCATTTCTTCGGTAAAGTATCCTTGATCTTTTCAGACAAGAGAATAAGATATTATCAAATCAGTGTGTTGCTTGAGCATGGCAAGGTGTTTGCCCCATTTTGGCTTCTGTGGGAGGAAGGCATGGAGGGGACACGACCTCTGGCTGACCCTCGAGCTGGACATGGGCAATCGGAGGCTCCTCACCTCTCCCCTGTCCTTGAAATGTATATTCCCCCCACTGTTCTGGCACTAGGAGTCTGTTTCAAGGATACAGCCTTGAGAGAGCAAAGTGCTGATAAGACCATCTGGACCATATGCTAATGACCCTCGTCGAAGCCTCCCTATAATATAAACTTGTAAGATTCTGGTAGACAGGTTCAGAGAACCACTTGTCTTGCAGGGCACAGGACAAGCTGTGTAAATTCCCTTGCTTATCACCCCTGCCACCTGTCCATCTGGAGAGTTCTGCTCCCTTTCTTTAGTCTCTTCTTGTCTTCTGTATATGGGCATCCAGTTTTGATTTTCACCCCGGGGTGGGGGGGACTCCTAAGGTTTCAAACCAACAGGTTCTGTGTTATCTCCGTCTCTCTTTCTCTCTCTCACTCTTTTTTTGGTCTCAAGGCTAACAGTTGCTAAGAAACCTTTTTGAAACCCTAAAAGCCACCTGATGAGGACTTATTAACAACGCCTTCAAGTGAGGGCCCGCAGCACACATAATCTAATTTGCTGAGTTGCTTATGGACACCGGCTGCAAGTCCTGGTAAGCGAATGTTGTTTGTAAGTCTGTGCCTTCCCCTAATTGTTGGGGAGTACCTTTGCGGTCTTGTGGCAAGCTGTACTGCAGTCTGACATAATTAAGCCCAGAGCAAACGAGATTCTTCTTTAGATATTAAAAGTGCCTGTGTTGTAAATAATAATGTCATCATCTCTTTCATAGAAAGTGCTTTCATTAAGAGCTGCATTTTAATTTCAACGCATTTGCATGAATTCATTTGACTGGTGGTGGGGGGTGGTATTTGATGATATTTCATCTTCCATGAACTTGCCAGGTGTTTCAATTAGGAAGTTTATAAACCGTCCCCCTCCCCCTAGGAGCCCTGAAAGAGAGACTTTCTCAATCGCACGTTCTAAATGGGGACACGTCCTCAGTAATCACACATCTATTAGGAGGTAGTGAATCTATTGACTGAGTTGACATACCCAGAAGGAGGGGACTTTCTTCCTTTAAAAAGAAAGATGAACCTAGGTGGTTCCTCTCTCTTGTAAATGTGTCTCAGAGGCTTGGGAAACAGGTGTGGGGAATATTCCGGAGGGCCAGTGGCAGCCTTGGCAGGCAGGAGCAGCGAGGGAATTTGGTTTGGGTGAAGCACACAGGGATAGCAGGCTTCAGGTTTGGGGTCTGGCGAACAAGCCATGCCCCATAGATTGCTTCTTTCCCAGGCAGGATCCCTGCACTCTCCTTGTCACAAACAGGGGGCAGTCTCTGTTAATTAAAGCGGGGAACAGCAGCCAGAGTGAGTCTCCTCTGAGGACGGGACTCAAATGTCCTGGTGACAGGCAATATTTTACAGAGGTTGGAGGCAGATTCTAAAATGGGCTTTTCTGTCTTGATTTTGTCTCTTTTTGCTAAGGTTTGTTTTTGTTTTTAAATCAAGTTTAGAAGTGTCTGAAAACCCCCAGCTCTTGGGGGAAGGTGTCTCTGACCTATTCTTCTACTAGGCTATTGCTCTAAGCTCCCAGCCCTGATGCTGGCAGGGAGGCAGGCGCCTCAGTGGAGTGCAGTGGGGGGCAGTGGGGTGGGAATTAGGAAACCAGGGATGAGGAGTCTAGCAGTCTGCAGCCAGCCCTGGCTTTCCCATTTCCTGGCCATTTGACCTTGGACAAAGTCCTTAACCTCTCTGAGCCTCAGCTTCCTGGACTGTGGCAAACTGGCTGGAGAAGCCCTTCTAGAATCTGATTTAGTGCTTATAAATATCCCAACCCCTCAGCACGGTTTTGAGTGCTCCTCTTTTGAGTGCTCCTCACGTCCAGTGCTGCAGTAGGTGCTGGGAGACTCTGGAGGAGTCATGGCCTCTTTCTGTCCTGGAGTTTACCATCTCAATGTGGGGAGACAGAAAGCAAATATGTAATATAACATCAGGTGGATAGGGAGTCTGGAGGCCTATTTTAGGAAGGCACTACCTGCAGCGGTTAGAACACAGGCCCAGGAGTCAAATTTCTTGGGTCAAAAGCCAACCGCAGTATTTCCTTGCTGCGCTACTGTGGGCAACTGGTTTAATTGCTTTGGGCCTCAATGTCTCCCTCTGTTGTGTGGGCCCCGTTACATTACCTAGCAGATAGAGTTAAATGAGATCAGTCACTCAAATGGTTTAGCAAATATTCCCAGATTGTCTGCTAGATGCTAGGCACTGCTCTAAGCATCTGTGAGGAGGTGATTTTAGAAAAGACAAGCTTAGTGGGCATGTTGCAGGCACCAAATAAATGTCAGCTATCATTAGCTCTCACACACCAATGCTTGTGTTTGTAGAGACTCACACAGTGGCTGTGGGTGTGGGTCGACAGACATGCCACACTGTCCTATTTTGGGGATCCCATTATGATGGATCTGATGAATTTAGACTAAACGATCTCACACCTTGTCCAGGTGGGTTTGGGATAAAGTACAGCCTGTAATTCAATGGGTCTTCTAGGGCCGGGATGCTCCTGGGTATGCTCCATCAGTGTGGGCCTGCTTTGTTTTTGCTGGAACAGGGTCATTCTTTGCTAGACTTTGGGAAGACAGTAGGTGACATTCTTCGGAGAGAAGGCACCATTAGCCAAACTCCCTCTCGTTCTGAGAAAACTTGCAACAGAGTCCAATACCCGCCCCCCCCCTTCACCCGGGCTTTTTTAAGTTAAGAGGACCCAGTATGTCATTTTATTCGTGGCTCGACTTTTTGGTGCTTTGAAAATGCCCTGAGAAAACCCCCTGACCGCAGCCCAGGGGAGGGGAGGGGAGGGTGGTGGAGCCATCGTTTCCCTGCAAATCGCCCAGCCGCCTGCAAAGTGAATACTTAGTTAATGCAATTAAAAACAAAACGCAGGGGCGTGTGGAGATCTAAATTCGGTGTAGCAGTTTTGGTGCAAATGCTGTTTTGGGGGCTACTGGAGTCAAATTCAAGCAGAGGAAAGAAGTGGGAGAAATGGGAGAGGGCCGACGGATGGCTGGATGGAATCCGTGGCTGGGCGGCGAAGGCAGATTTGGAAATTCCTGGCTGGCGACGGGGAGCTGGAAGCGGAGGGCGAAGGCCGGACTCCGCAGCCCCGGGTGAGGAGGGTGAGGATGTCGGGGGGTGGGGGTGGGGGTGGGGGTGGAAGGGAGGGGGCTCCGGAGACCGAGGCTGAGGCTGGACGCCCAGGCCTTGCGCTGCACCAGAGCGGGCTGGGCGCGCAGAGGCGGCGCCGCGGTGTGCCCTCCCGTGGAGCGCGGGCAACGCCGCGAGGTCGTAGAGGGTCAGAAAGTGGCAGGTCCGGGGGCCTAGGGGAGTCCCGAGGAAGGACATTCCGGGACGCGGGGCATGCCACGGCCTCGGCCTCGTCCGCTGCGTCTCCGCTGCCCCCCGAGCTTCTAGGACTGTGGAGCTCGTCCCGCGGCCCTCTCCCGGGGGTGCTTACCCCGGCCCAGGGCTTGCCGCCCCGCCTTCCCGGCTCAGCCTTGGTCCTCCGCTCGTCCCAGGGAGTTGGGCCGTCCGGGAGGCGCGCCTGGCTGGGGGGCGCAGTCGGGGGGAAGGGCGAGGTGGCCCGCTGCACCTGGAAAGGGCGATCCCTCCGTCCGCCGAGGAGGGGGAGCCACTTAGCCCGTCCCTGGCCCCTCCGGGTCGCCCCTTCCCGGGAGGGCAGATCCGAGCCGCAGCTCCTGCGCACGCACGCCCGAAGGAGCCACGGGCGGGGCCGCCTCTGCGCCCAGAACAGGTCGGAGCCGCGCCCCCGGCCCGGAGAGGGCGCGGGAGGTCCCGCAGCCGTCCTCCACCTGCCGGGAAGCCCCGGCGCTGCCCTCGGCCCCGGCGGCTGCGGAGCTCCCTCCTCCCCGGGCGCCCGCCGAGCTCGGCTCTGCACGCCCCCCAACTCGCTCCCGCCCGCCCGAGTCACCTCTTCCGCGCCCCCGCCCCTCTCGAGCTCGCGCCCGTTCCACCCTCCCCTCCTCTGCCCGCCCTCCTCCCCCTCCCCCTCCGCTCCTGCCCTCCCTTCATTCCACAAGTGTTGCTTCGCTCTCTCTCCAGCGCACTTGGCGAGCTGGGGAGGTGAGAGGGATCCGGCGGGCGAGTCCCGAGCCGCGGGCCGAGGGGAGGCGCGGGCGCACCGACTGTCCCCTGCTCCCCGGCCCCCGCCTCCCCCCGTAGCCGGCCGGACCTGCCCCCTCCCCCGGCCCCCCCCGCGCCCCCCCCCCCGCCGCCCGGCCAGGCGCGCTCCTCCCCGGCCGGCCCCTGGGCGCGCGGCGCGCTGGAGGCGAACGCGGGCTGAGCCGCGCGCCGTGGCCGCGACCACCGAGCGCCCCGCGCCGCCCCCTGCATGTGCGGCCCGCGGCGGCTCGCAGCCCCCGGCAGCAGCCTCGGCAGCTTCGGCCGCGCCTCGAGAGGCGGCTGCAGCGGCTCCAGCGGCGGCCGAGCGGCCGAGCCCGGGCTGGGAGACACGATGCGCCGCGTCCTCCGGCTGCTCCTCGGCTGCTTCCTCACCGAGCTGTGCGCCCGCGTGTGCCGGGCGCAGGAGCGAGCGGGGCACGGGCAGCTGGCGCAGCTGGGCGGCGTGGTCGTGCTGGCGGGGGGCAACCGCTCCGGGGCCGCCTCCGGGGAGGCCGGCGAGGGCGCGGGGGTCTCGGACGCGCCGCCGACCCGGGCGCCCACGCCGGACTTCTGCCGCGGCTACTTCGATGTCATGGGCCAGTGGGACCCGCCGTTTAACTGCAGCTCGGGCGACTTTATCTTCTGCTGCGGGACTTGTGGCTTCCGGTTCTGCTGCACGTTTAAGAAGCGGCGACTGAACCAGAGCACCTGCACCAACTACGACACTCCGCTCTGGCTCAACACCGGCAAGCCCCCCGCGCGCAAGGACGACCCCCTGCACGACCCCACCAAGGACAAGACCAACCTGATCGTTTACATCATCTGCGGGGTGGTGGCCGTCATGGTGCTTGTGGGCATCTTCACCAAGCTGGGGCTGGAGAAAGCGCACCGGCCCCAAAGGGAGCACATGTCCAGGTGGGCTGCCTCCCCCACCCCACCCCCCTCCGCCTCCCCTCCGGGCGCCGCTCTCCCAGCTTCCCTTCCCCCCCCGCCCCCATCGCCGCGTCTCCGCCGGGGGAGGTCTCCCGGGAAGCCAACTTCGTCGTGGAGCGCGGAGAGGGGGCGCTGGGCTGCGCACAGGTGTGGATTCGAGCGTGTGTGCGTGTGTGTGTGTGTGTGGGGGGGTGTCTCTGCCCCCTTCACCCTCTCGCCGCCCCCTCCTTGCCTAGGATTGGAGTGGACCTGAGACAGCCCGGGAAGCCCGCGGCCCCGGAGTCCTGGGGTTTGGGGAGGGGTCCGCCGCTCGGATGCCAGATGCTGGGCTCTAGGTAAACAGGGCAGGCGAGCCCGAAAGGGAAGGGGGGCGTGTGTGAGCCCGCGCGCGCGTGTGTGAGGGAGGAGGGAGGAGGGAGGGAGTGTGTGCCGCCTGCAACTCGTACCGCTCGCGAAAAAGAGGCGAGGGAGGTGGAAAGAGAGGGGAAGGCTAGAACAAAAGCCTCGCCTGGAGCGGCCGCCTCGCTCCCTCGGAGCTTCCAGGTCCTTGGAACTGGGACCTCGGTTGCCTCCCTCCGCCCAGGCCCCTCGCTTCTTTCCGGGGTCTGCACCTCCCGCAGCGGGAGGAGGGGGGTGGGGAGGGTGCGGGGGCGCCGCCTCCGCTGCGCCCCGCGCCCCTAGCCCGCGGTTGGCGCGGACTCCAAGGGCGGGCGCCCCGCTCCCTCCCCACGCCGCCCCCCGACACCCTGATTCGTCAACTTTCCCGGTTGCCTTATTCATTATGCAAGTCCCAGCGCGAGCAAGTCGCAGCAGATGGGAGAAGGCATTTGGGGATTAATGGAGCTATTTGCCTTTTGCTTTTTTTTTTCCCCCTTAAAAAAAGTGTCTAAATTGATTTGCACAACCCAGTAACTTCGGAGGCGGAGGCTGCAGCCCCCAGACCCCGCAGGGTTGGGGCCAGGGTTAGGCGTGAGGTCTGGGGCCAACCGGGTTGAAGAGCGACAGGCGGTCTTCCAGCAGCTGGGTGGTTGGGCGCCCGCTGGATCTTCTTCCCGAGTGTGGACATCGGGGTCGCTTTGGGTCCCCCCTCCTCTCCCCGTCCCCTGCACACAGACACACACCCTCCCCACACCTCCGGCGGGGGCCCCTGTGTGCGCGTGTGGATGCACGCGCTCCGTGCGCCTGCCTAAAAAATCTGAACAAAGAGACCCACCAAAAATAGGCGAAGGAACATTACCACCTCACTAGTAATTATTTTCTATTTATACGCAGAGTATCCGATGACTTTTTTTTTTTACCCCCCGTGGGGAGGGATTTGGGGGAAGAGGTGAAGAAGTTCCTCTTGGTTTGGGTCAGCGGGGAGGTGTAGATGGATGTTGGGGTCCTAAGCGCAAAGTAAGCTTCCAAGGTATACAGGAAACCCTGCCCGGCTAAAAGAGTCACACGCGGGCCCCGCCCACCTCCTGCACCCCCCACGCCCCCAAGACGCCCTGTCGCCAGCCCCACCGGCGGGTGTTTCACGTCCCCGCAGTCCCCACCGATCCCTGTAGCTTCCCCAGGTCTGTGACAAGGTGAGGGAGGAGTGCCGAGGCAGGACTGCAGCAGGCAGCGGGTGTCGCCTTGCAAGGGAGCGAGTCACCCAGGGACCAGGGATCGGAAGGCTGCCTTGCAGATTCAGCTTAATTCCTCTGCCCACTGAGCCTTTTTCTTGCAAACCAGCGCTGAAAGGAGCCCTACTTGGTGTTGGGGTGGGGGTGGAGGAGGGTAGGAAGGGCCGGAGAAGGCAGGTGGGGAGGTGACAGCTAAGGGTGGGTGGCTCCCTTTGGACGTCTGGCGGAGAAGGTGATGCTAGCTCCAGGCCCTCTTGGATCTGAGTGTCCCTGTGGAGACAGCACTCCACTGCAGACCTAAGGGCCCCAGCAGGGACTCAACTTCCTGTCCTGCCCCCTTGCAGCTCTGTCAGGAGAAGAAGAATCACCTAGGCTCTGCCGGTTGCAGCCACTTTCTTCTGCAGGTACCAGGAAAGGACTGCTTGGGGGTGAAATCTCCAGGTAGCCAGTCCTCTGGTAACGGAGCCTCCGCACTGGTTTTTCCTTGTACACATTTTGGGAGTTCCAGAATGCAGTGGAAGTGCATTCTCTTGAAGGGACAGAACAGTTGATTTCCAACACCCCCCCTGACCCCCCCACTCCCCATGCCCAGCCTGGAGCCCGTCTCCCGGGTTGAGCTTACCACCCTGAGACCAAGACCTGAGGCTGAGATCAAGACTCGAGGCTCAACCCACTGAGCCACCCAGAAGCCCCAAGAATAGTTGATTTTTATGGGCAGTTTCCATGGTATGGTTTTCAACCCTGACTGCTGTTTGGGATCGCCTGGAATGCTTAAAAAAAAAAAAATCATGTTGCTAGGGGCCCCACCCTAGACAATTTAGATCAGAATCTCTAGGGCTTCGTGAATTTTGTACTTTTGTAAATTTTTTTTGATTTTTATTTATTTATGATAGTCACAGAGAGAGAAAGAGAGAGAGGCAGAGACACAGGCAGAGGGAGAAGCAGGCTCCATGCACCAGGAGCCCGACGTGGGACTCAATCCCGGGTCTCCAGGATCGCGCCCTGGGCCAAAGGCAGGCGCCAAACCGCTGCGCCACCCAGGGATCCCAAGCCTCTGTACTTTTGTAAAGCTCTCTAGGCTTTCCAGCGTGTGGCCAATCACTGTTGAGGAAAAGGAACTAACATTTGCCAGGCACCGTAGTAGGGGGTGTGTGTATGTAGACGTGTGGACATGCATGCGTGAGTGCATGTGTGTGTAAACATCCTCTCATTGTAGTGCTCACAGCTATGAGACAGGTGCTGTTAATTTCCACTTACATATGAGAAAATCGTGGCTCGGTTTGCATGGCTTGCCCAAGGTCACACAGAAAAACTTCAATCCCCGGCACCTGGTTTTCAACTGTGTTTTCAGTTTCAGGGCGCATTTGGGGGGGGCGTTTCCTAAAATGCAAAATGCACATTCTTGTGTTGTGTTCAGAGAGATTCCAAATCCATAAGGTCTGGGATGAGCCCTTAGAAATCCGCATTTAACAGCCTCTCTGGCCCCTAAAAAGTGGCCTACACATTAAGAAAGACTGTTCTGGAGTTTGGGACTATTTTACAGGGTTGGGGATGGATGAATTTGTCCAATGCCACGACAACTCTGGTATGTGCCTTCTGTTGTGTGTTGTCTGCACAGGTAGGGCTTTATGTGTATTTGTGGTGCTGGGGGCTGCCCCAAGGACCGTCCAAATGCATCTTGCAGTTGATGCAGGTAATCATCTCGAGCCCCAGCCCCAGTCTCGAGCTCATTAGCTGTTGCCTTAGGGGCTAAGAGGTGCTTGGATGGGGCGGGCACACCCAGCTTGGCCTCATAGAGGCTCCAAGGTGGCTTCCAGGTGAAATTAATGTGCTGGCCGCAGCCTCTTAATTTATTTTGTCTTGGGCGGTGAGGGTTACTGAGATGAGAGGTTTGTTCTCATTTTATCTGACTCACAGATAAGTAGAACTTATCTTACTTACAAATCTTGGAAGACTTACAGCCCCTTGCTGTCCGCATGTCACCAAGTGCTCCTGTGACCTGTGCACTTGTGGGATCCCAGAACAGGCCTCTGTGATGTGGGTTTTCCGGCTCAGAGTCCTGGGCATGTCACCTGCTTCCTTCTGGGCTTGATTGGGATTGAAATCAGGAGAGTCCGTGATTCCAGGAGCTGTGGGGCTCTTGCCCACGGTACTGTGAGAACTCCACAGATACTCGTTCACCAGCCACGGGAACATTCCATCCCGCCACGACGTAGTGGAAGAAGAGACTGCAGAGGGTGGCCAGCTATGGTCACCAAAGCACGCAGACATGTTTTGTTTGGTCTGCAATGTATTTCTCTATTCATGCATTCTGATTTTTTAAGTTTCTCTCTCTTTCTCTTTTTGACTGTGAAATATTTTAAATACACACACACACACACACACACACACACACACACACAAAGCCCACGAAACAAAACCTTAAAAGAATAATAAAAATGAACTCCAGTATGGCCTTCAAGGTTTCTAAGCCCCGGCACTACCAGCATTTGGGGCTGGCTCAGTCTTGGTGGGGGGCTTTCCTGGGCATTGCGGGGTGTTGGCCAGCATCCTTGGACTCTACCCACTAGATGCCAGTAGCACCCACCCCACAACCCAGCTGTGACAGTAAAACAAAAATAATAAATCCTCAGCCATAGCCACATGTCTTCAATGTGTAGAATCACCCGCAGTTGAGAACACTCATCTAGACTGAACAATTATTAGCATTTTGTCATATTTGCTTTATAGCTACTCTCTCCCCATATTTCTTTCTCCCTCCTCTTCCCCCCTCCCTCTCCTTTTCCTTTGTTTTTTTGGCTGAAGCATTTGAAAAGAAGTTGCAGACATGACACTTCCTCCTGAGAACAAGGACACTCTCCCACACAACACAATTCCAAGTATCACACCCAAGAAAAAGGACGGAGATTCCATCATATCATCAAATAACCAATCATATCAAAATTTTCCCAGTCAGGCCAACAAATGTCTCCTAGAGTTTGGGTTTTCAAACTCGGATCCAGTTAAGACTCCCTGCATCTGGCTGTGAAATTTCTCTGGTCTCTCTTCTCTATCATGTTTTAAAATCAACTTAGAACCAGTTGCCAATATTTAGAAGCGGGGAGTTTTCACACAGACATCTAGATTTCTGACTTCTCTTGAGATATTGGGCAGGTCTGGCCACACTGGACCTGCATTTTCACACGGAAACTGTTGGCTGCCATGCTGAGAGGTGACTTTCCTCTTCAGGAAGCTCACAGGTTCACCTCCATCTCCGCCCCCCAACCCAGTTCATTCAGTAAACTGCAGTCCTTGGAGATACCTTCAGGCTGACCTTAGTGGCACGGGCTCTGGTTGGATGGCCTGAGATTCAATCCAGCTCGACCACTGAAT